TCCTCCGCGTGTCCGTCTGGGCCGCGCAGGGCGGGAGGCGTCTCCTACCCTCCCGGCGGGGGCTCCGGGCCGCTCGCAACAAGGGCACAAAGTAACTGTCGGGGCGCTGAGCGCCTGCCTGGGTAGGAAGGTGCCGGGCACGCAGGAGTCGGCCGCCAGGGTAGCGCAGCACCCGCCCCTGCGTCCAGTTCGTGGGATAAGAAGCAGCCAGCAAGTGATGGCATTTTTTTTTTTAATAAATTCGTCGTATTCCGGGTTTTCTCTCGTCTTTAACTGACTGAACTTGTAGCTGGGTTACAACTTAAGACCCAAGTAACTGGATCATCACATCTTAAGTGTAACATGTAGATGTGCCTTAAATGTGTGGTGTGCTCCCGTTCAAAACCACTGAGTCTCACCACAGGCTCTGTTTAAACCCCTAGCTTCTGGGCTGAGAGAGAGGCTGTGTATGCAGCCTGAGTACGCACTTATCCCAGTTTAATGATGGTTAGACAGGCTGCTGTCAGTGCTGGGCTATTAGCAGCCCTCAAACCAAGTCCTTTCTTTTTTGAGGCCTCCAAATAGCCCTTTGAAAGCTGTTTCCCCATTGCTGTTTCTGGTGCAGTTGATGCTCTGCATTTAAATGGCAGGACTGCATTTAACTAATGCTTGTTACAGCGTAAGCAATAGGCAACAAGTTCTGGTATTAAGTAAATTAACAGACCTTCTGGATTTGAGAGTGACTCTTCTATAGTCTGTACAACCTTACACGCTGCCTAAATTGATCCAGAGTGCATTTGAAATCTGTATGTTCTCTTTTCCTGTTTTATCATTCTTAACATCTCTTCATTGGGAGGAAGGGGAATGGGAGTTGGCCTTTTTATAGTGCACTGTAGAAAGATCCATGAGATGTACTAAAATAGTGTACCTAGGACCCAAACTCGCCAAACACCCACTTCCACTGCATGTCCTAAGATGTGAGAGCTGATGGGATCTCTTCCCAGCTGGTGTTGCTTGTGTACAGCCTGTCATCTCTCTCCTGTAGGGTTAGCAAACACTGTGTCAATCAGAGAATGTGTCTGATTCAGCATGTTGTATTATAGTTGCATAGTCTCCAGGATTTTCAGTTAACTGTTAAGTTGATGATATTTTCATTATAAATACCTTCTTGCTATAAAATAAAATCTTTGTTCCAGGATAAAACATGCATATTCATGCCAAAAAAAAAAACCTTGTCCACTTTTAGTCCCTGTCTCTCGACTTGTGGGACCAATATTTTTTTAACTTTTAGGATGAATCCTAGAAAATATTTATCTGCAAGTTAAATCTTTGGATGTAATACAGAAACACTGGATTATCATGTCAAATGCATGTCCTAGAGAGAGAGAAATCCATGTAAGAATATATTTACTAGAGCAGGGCCAGGAAATAAAAAATAGGAACTGTAGAATAGGCACTTTTAGTATTTTGGGGGCTTTTATTTTTGGGAGGTTGCCTTTTACTTTGGACATTTTCCGAATGCAGCAAAACCTCTTTCAGAAACCTAAAATGTTATTGCTGTGACAGAAGCCAGTAAAAGCCATGGTAGTTTAAGCTTTCGTCACGTGTTGCAGGTGGACATTACAATAGTCCACTAAACTGCAATCTGGGAAGAATTAAGAAGGGGAAATAGAGGCTGACCTTTTGGGGGTCAGTGACTTCTAGGTTAGATGGGAGGGAGTAGGGTTTTTTTCCTTGGTAGAAGTATGAAATATTCTATGGGAGTTTTGAAATTTTTTTTAACATCTTTTTAAGCTGAGGTGAGCCTTTACCCAGCTGTTCTTTATAAGGAGGCTCAAACAATTACTATGTACATCTCTCCAGGGCATTACCATTGACCATACTCAAAAAGATCCCCATGTCTGTGTGCAGCTTTCTAAGAATAGCTAGTGGAAGTACATTTAAGTAGCAAATAAACTTGGTCTAGTTGCCCAGTGGTGTCACATTGCCAAACTACATGCCCTTAGGCTGACATTTATTTTCATATTCACAGGAAAGAATGAGGACTCCTACAAGGTATTGGACCTGACAGAATACACCAAGAATCAGTCTTGGTGGCGCAAGCTCTTTGCACCACATTCTGGGTCAAGTGCTGAAAAGTATAACGTAGCAACACAACTGGTGATTGGAGGAGTCACTGGATGGTAAGCTGATGATGTAGGTCAGTTTTGGTCCCAGTAGCAGCAGAGTATCTGTGTAATATGTTTGCATTGGTATGGATGGAAATTGAGTGCTAATCCTCATTGCGTTATATTTGCACATTGGTTGGATATCCCATGGAGTACAGGTATGTATGCTGGGTGGTAAAGGCTTAGCCTTTCAAAAGTGGAGGAAAATTAGATTTGAGTCCACATCTTTAGGCATGTTTTCAATCATGTTAGTTTTTCCATAGATTTTTTTAAGGTCTGGAGGAACAATTATGGTCTCCTAATCTGCCCTCCTCCATTTTACAGTCCAGAGAATGTCATGCAATTATTCTCACACATTTTTGAAGCATAAAAATATCTTTTTAAAAGATACAGGAAACAAGGATTTTTGGACCTCTCTCATTGAACCAGCTGTGTGGCTGGGATAGACCTAGAAAAGCTTTCAGGTATCACAGTACCCTTCCTCAGGTCTCTGGGAAAGAAGCAGGTCTTGTTTCCATGGGAAATAAAAGAATAAAACATCATGAGTCCCTCAGAACTGACTGTTTTGTGTAAAAGCCCACATTTCTTCTTTTTCTTCAGTACTAAATTGACTTTCCTCCTTTTAGGTAAAGAGCTCCTAATAGGAGAGGAACTGTATGCAAAGTCCAACTACTTACTGCCTAAGGGTGGAGCATCTTTGGACAATTAAATTAATTATGTGGTTGGGGGTATGTAAGTTTATTTTCCTGACATGACCTTTTTTGATTTGTAGGTGTACCGGCTTTATCTTCCAGAAAGTTGGAAAGCTGGCAGCGACAGCAGTGGGAGGTGGCTTTTTCCTACTTCAGGTGGGCATGAGTGATCAGGATGTTGTGAAAACTGTTCTCTCTCTAAGGGAGAGAATAGTTAGGGAACTAGCCTGGACTCAGGAGACATAGCATTAATTCTCTGCTTTGCAGGGGGAAGTTATAAGCAAGCCAACATACTCAAAAGTAATTAGGCACCTAACTCCCATTGAAACAGATTATTATAGCACAAGGGTGTTGAGAAAAATACACTGGAGATTGTGAGGTACTTGGTTACTATGGTAATGAGTTTATATAAGAATCTTATATAAAATGTGATGAATCATAGTGGGTAAGTCTTCTCCCCTCTGAATAGTTGCAGCTGAGTCAGATCCATAGTCCTGTAAAGCTGATGACTCTTTACATCCATGCTAGCCTATGGTTTTGCACAAATAATTGTCCCACCATGAGCAATGCCTTCATTCAGATGCCAGAGCAGACCTCTCTTCTAGAGTGACTGCAGCAGGAACAGTGTGGTCTGCACTGAGGGTTAGATGAAAGCCATGTTTTACTTAACAGTGACTTCTAGCAAAAGTTGATCAGAGACATAATCCTGTAGCTGGGCTTAATTGGGCTGTAATAAGGTCCTTTTGAGGCTGGAATCCTTTGGAGTCTGGTCAGGACAGAGAGAACCCTCTATTAATTTATTTGAGGAGAAGAGAGAGGAAAATTGCAGAGCAGCAAAATTAATCCTTTGTATTTTCTTGGCCTATGCCACTCTTGGATTTTAAAAATCCTATTCTCCTAAAGGAGAAGGAAGTGTCCTGTACTGTTTTGCTAGTTTAACAAACCTACATTATACTAGCCTGCGAGTGACTAGATCCCATCCAACAATTATTCATTCGTTTAATAATAGTACTTGGATCATGTTGCTTAGTTCCCCTCAATCCACGAGTCTTTATCCCAAAATGTAGATGTCTCCCCAAATACCCTGTTTAGATCAGACAGTATTTCACTGCTAGACTACCATGGCAGATCAAAATACTTGCACAGGAACAACCTATTAATAAACCATAGCCTTCCACAGCAGCAGGAGAGATGGAACATGAAACTTGTAGAGGCTCCAAATTTAACAGATACAATAATAGTGAGGGTGAGGGAATACAATTGGCTCCAGCTTTATATTGCAGAAGAGAGAGGTTGAAAGAGCTTGTCTTTAACAGCATGCTCTGCTTAACAATTTCCATTAGAGAACTCTAGCAGGATCTTTCAGCAAGCTGTATAAGAGAGGGTGGAATTTTATGTAATGTTAGCGTTCGATTCCTGTTCAGTTCCTTGTTCTTTTAGCTTATCTGTGTTCTGTCTCCATTGCCTAGTGTTGTAGAAGAGCTTATATATCTAAGAGTGGCAGGATGGCTCCTCCTAGGGTTGTTGAAGGAGCTGCTTTGTTTGGGAAAGGGAGAGGAGGTCAAGAAGTTCTGGGTCACTTAAGTTTCTTGCCATCCCTCACAAATGTAGATTGCAAATCACAAGGGCTACATCAAAGTGGACTGGAAGCTAGTTGAGCGGGATGTGAACAAAGCCAAGCAGCAACTGAAATTTCACAGCAGTGGCACCCCACTGATCCCAGAAACTAAAAGCAGAGCTGATGAGGTGAGAACATTTTTTCTTCCCTTTTTCTTAGTTTGTGAATTTGTGTACATGCCCTCCATCTAGCACAAGGAGAGGGATATTAGTAATAACTTTTGGTGTTCTTGGGATAGATGTGTAGATGAGGTGTTAAGAGTAGTTGCACAGTAGTAAGCCTGGGTGATGAGCAAAGCTGCTAGAGTCTGTGAAATGGCCAACATGGCTTCCAAACAGGGTTATGACATATACTACCTGAGACCAAACCCCCAGGCTACAGGTGGAACTCCTGGAATGCATAGACTGCAGAGAAGGGTCTTCCTAGAGTGATAAAGATAGCTGTGCAGATATTACAGAATAAAAGCACATCTAACATGCTAGCCTCCCTCTACCCTCTGACCTAATTTGTACATAGAGACCCTGTGGTCTATGTACCTCATAATCTTAGATCCTTGACTACTTAATTTTGATAAGGCTGTAAACATTTGAAGCAGCTAACATCTCTGGTCCAACTCAGCTGCTGGTCAATATGCCTGGACTATGTTGGAATCTCACCTGTGCATGAATAATAAACAGAGTAGGAAGGACTTCTTTTGAGAGAGGTCATTGCTTCACCTCCCTTGAAAAGTGAGCCCAGCAATAAACTGGGTCACTAGCTATTAATTTTGGCCATTAGTTGAACTAAGTAAAGGTACATGCAGTCTGGTGAGCTGGCATGTAGTGGAACAACTGGTGGAAGGGAATGGTACTTATCACATGCAGGTGACTGGCTCTAGCATGCTGTCTGTTCTCCCTTTCTTCCCTGCCCAGGTTATCACGTTTCTGAAGAAGAATGTTATCCTGACTGGAGGGTTTGCTGGTGGATTCCTGCTTGGAATGGCTTCCTAGAAACTGCATATAACTGCCTCAGTGTCCCTTCATGCCCAGCCTCTCCTGCACTCCTCTCCACTTCCAACTAGGAAAAGAGTGGGTTTTGCCAACTGACTTGGCTTCCTCAGGTCTTACTTCCTCTCCCTGGGTTTCAGCCCCTGCTTTCTGTAACATTGCCACACATTTTCCTCCCTTTTTTTCCCCCCTTGTGTCTGAGCTCTCTTGATGTAGAGCTCCATTGGTGCATCTGAACTTGCAGGTAAAAAGCTCATGAACCTCAGCATTAGCTTGTCAGTTTGTTTCTTTTCCTTACCCAGCAAATCCCACCACAGATTTCTAGGTCAGGTGCAGTGCCATACATAGATGACAATGGGAATCTGAAAGCAGGTGCAAGGACTGACAGCTTTAAACTTCTGTCTCCCAGCACTACTAGCAGTTCTGTATCCTCTGTTCTCTAGTAACTGAAAAGCCCTTGCTTCCAGCTGTAAGGGGACAAAGGAAACGTTGCCTGAAATCATCATATGCTTGGCTATTCGTGGATGGAAATAGAATTACAAAAGGGTAAGTCAGACCATGCTCTGAAGTGGGCACCACTATTTGTTTGGAAAACAGCTGAGTCAGTGGCAGATGGTGGTTGAGTAAGTATACCTGTCGGTTTGTTTAGAAGTACTCTAGCAGACTGGTTCTTCTGTCTTTGCCCCTTTTTAGGCGCTTGCCATTAAACTACTCACAGATGGCTGCTTGGCATCATCTCTACTGGTATTTATACTGGAAATGCAGCATTGGCACTGCAGATGGAAATTCTGAGTGTACATATGACTGACTCTTCCTGATCCTTTATCGTGGGTTTTGAAAGTCATTGAGCTTCCTACCACTTATAATGCTTTCTTTTTCTTCACTGTCTACTTTATGGCTCAGCTTGTGAACTTGACACCATACAGAATGCCTGAACCGTTTGTATGACTGCCAAGACCAGCTCCATCCGCCCTGGCACACTTGTGTTGTGGCAGTTACTGTAACATGCACATTGGTCAGATTGACATTTAGGGGACTGCAGCCTCTATTTGGGGGCATTGTGGAATTACAACTACCTATAGGTGTGCAGGGCACAAGGAACACAAGCTATCTGGGATATATTGTAGTCTTCCAGGATTCCAGTTTTTCAGTGTATGCAGCAGTGTTGGTGTCTCAGACTGACTAAAATTGCTCTAAATACAGAAAACCATTTATCTTCTTTTGAGTGTTCTACCTACTGAGAACTGGATAGATGGAGCTTGTGAAAGTATGAACTTTTCAGTTTGCCTACCAGCCAGCTGCACTTGAGTGACAGCCACCTTAAAACATGGTGATTAGCTCCCTGTAGCATGTATATTTACTAAGTAGTATTTGACACATGATCTAATAAATCATAAGAATCTGTGCTTTAAAAAATTCTTGGTTTATATGGTGAGAGATTCATACATAGGCTATTTAAACTGAGACTGGAACTGGCATAGATTATGAGAGCTACTGCTTGGAGCAGCTATTCTAAAACAGCCCAGTTTGCCTCCCTCTCTGGAGAAGGGGGGAGGCGGGGAAGGATGCTTGTTCCTTTCTAAACTAGATACTGGGTTGTGGAAAACCAAGTCACCATCTCTAAATTGTTGCAAAAATAACTCTGCTTTACTTTAAGCCTTTGATAGCCTCTCCTTCCTGGGTTCTGCTTGATTCTTTTACTGTTCCAGAAACAAGTGTCTGGGTGAAAGTAGTCTCCCTCCGTTTGTTTAATTCCTGCACCTGCAGAACAACTCCAGCATACCCTGGGTTATAATGCGGGTTGGAGGCAGGGTCAGCTTGGCTGGGGAAGGTAGGCCTAGTGTTACCAAGGCCTGAATTGATCTCTAACCTACAAGAGAAAAGGAAAAAAAAAGTGTTAAAAATAACTTGGAGATGCAGTCAGCATTTGCTAGCACTGGGCCTTTGTCTCCCTGCCCCAGTCCCTTTTGAATCGGTAGCCTGGAAGGCAAGGGGCTTGTTGGCTCTGTGGTTCAGATGACAGTAATTAGCTGTTCTGGCTGAGGGTGGGTTACTTATTCAAAACCTGTTCCCACTTGCCATTAAAATCCCAGGAAGTGAATTGTGTGTGTGGTCAGACACTTCTGAATGTAGTGTGGCACAAAGATGCACTTTATTTGTTCTGCTGCAATAACTCTGTTTAGCTAGCTCTTGACCTAGCTGGAAACAGGGTATTTACCCAAAGGAAGAATGCTGGGGGCCCTGAGTGCTCTCTTAGAGCTGTGGTAGCTTGATGACTACAGTATTTTTTTTTTTTTTTTTTTTTTTTT